AGCTATGGTAGGAACATGTTGAAGCATGGAGTATGCGACGCGAACAAACCTTTGGTGTTTTCCGTTTGATGTCACAAATCGACACAAGTGTCGTTCTATCTTTGTCACTCTCTGAATGTCGACAAGGATAGAACGACGCTTGTGCCAACTTGTGTCAACTAGTGTCATCAAATGGAAAGCACCCACTGTGTCTCCAGATTGTATTACCTCGCATCTCGCATGAATGGTTTATAATTAAAAGACGTGAGTATACAAATATTAATTAAATGGAACAGTTAAATTGAGTAAATTACATAACATTCGTATTAAACAAGTCAGTATCATTAATTTTTACACTGTCTCGCAATAATAAATGCATTGTTGTTTAAAACGTTATAAAGAATTCATGAACAATGCGTGACATATTTACATTTATTTAATTTACATTTATTTTTTGATGGAATTATGTGTAACCTAACCGGTAATATGAATTTTTGAGGTTATTATTTATGTTGGGTTAAATCTTAATATTTACTTAATAATATTTAATTATTATTAAATAATATAATTCAAATTATGATAAAAATTAATATATATCAATTTCAAAAAAATTTTTTTTATATTAATATCACGTATAATGTTGCTTCATCTATTTTTATTTATTTTTTTATTTCTTCTATTTCTTCTTATTATGTTATTGTGCTCCTAGAATGGAAAAAACAATGAAAGAGACTAATTGCGAGCCTGTGTATCAAGGATACTTCATAGGTCATAGCGGTGCAGTTACTTCTTTAAATTTTCATCCAAATGTTGATCAACTCATATCAAGTAGTATGGACAACACAGTAATGTTATGGCGATTGAAGCATTTAAAGCCAGCTTACAAGTTTATAGCCCACAAAGAGGCTGTCTTAGACGTGTGCTATTCACCAAACGGAGAAGTTATGGCCAGTGGTTCAAAAGACAGATCTGTAAGAATTTGGATTCCTAAAGTTAAAGGACATTCCTTTGACTTTAGGGCTCACAGTTCTGCTGTGAGATCAGTACAGTTTAGTCCAAATGGAGAAAACGTAATCTTAAATTCAATTATCTAATTATTAGCTATTTTGTTATAGATCTTGCTATAGACAGTTTATGCAATTGTTTATTATAATTTTTAGTTAGCTACTGCATCAAATGACAAAAGTGTAAAGCTGTGGATACCATATCAAAAAAAATTCCTCAAGACATTTAGTGGACATACATATTGGGTAAGCTGTGTTAAATTTTCTCCGGATGGTAAACTTTTGGTATCGTGTAGCGATGACAAAACAATAAAGGTCTGGGATATTACAAGCGGACGTTGTGTCAAAACTTTTAATGAAATAAAAGGTTTGTTAAGTGCATCATAGCTTCGTATATTAGAAACCTAGAGTAAAACTTTGCTATATTAGCTTCCGCTAAATATGTGGAGTTTCATCCAAGCGGCACGACTATTGGATCAGCAAATACAGATGCGTGTGTCAAATTGTACGATTTAAGAACAGATTCTTTATGTCAGCACTATGCTGTTCATACAGAGCCTGTGAATATGATTAAATTCCATCCAAATGGTAAATTTATGTTAACAGCGTCTGTAGATTCTACAATGAAGGTAGTTTAAGATTTTGGTTTCATTTTGCGGTTACAATAAATTATTATCCTATTTGCTATTAACAAGAAACATCGACTAGATTTTAGATATCCTAGAAGGCCGTCCGATTTATACTCTCAGAGGACATTGTACTAGCATAACATCCATAACATTTTCAAAAGATGGCACATTTTTTGCTTCTGGTGGCATTGATCGACGAATTTTAATCTGGAAGTGTAATTTATGTGTGGATGACCAAAGTAGAAAAATATCTACACAGTTAATGTCATCTATAGCAAACAGGAACTTGATGACGGAAATCTCTAGCAAACAAAAATTTGACAATGTGGAAAAATCAAACAGCAGCGAACAAGTACAAGATATACATAACAAGCAGGATCAAGAGAAAGTAATAACTTAATACTTAATATATGCAACTGATTTATTAAATTTTGAAAGGCAGCAGTTATTTTATTTTAAAAAAACTTGTTGTTACATTATATCAGGAACTATTAATTTTATAAGATGTATACATTTCAGTATTTATCATATAAATTAGAAAAATCACATCTAAAACCATACAGGAGTCAAGAACTGTCAACGAAAGATGAAACTTAAATCAATATGGATATAGAATTTTCTGGAAAGGTTCTTTTCCGTTGTGTAAAAACATGTTAATTCAACAAAATCAAACATCATCCGTTGCCGACGTTGAATCAATCCATTAAAACATTCTGTGATCAAGTACAATTATTATATCACATTATGAATGTATTAGAATAATGCTTTACAGTATTATAAGAGATACTTAACAAACTAATTCCTTCAGCTTATAGAATAATATGTAAATATGTGTGTGCAATATTGACAATTTGTTTTCCAAATAGAATTTTAAATGAATAGTTATAATGTATATACAAAGATGAAAGAAATTTTCTAACAAGTAGTGTTTCAATGCTTTATATTATGCAGGATATCTCCTATTTAAATGTCAAAACTTCATAAACGTATAGAAGATTGATAAATAAAAGTTTTCTAGAGATGTGCTCATTTTTTTTATTTTGGAAAAAATTGTAAAAAGACGTTTTTATTTTTTACTTATTTATTATTTATTCATTTACACATTTATTTATTTATTTATGTTGTCTTTCCTTAATTAAAGCATTCTTCAAAATATTGATTTTTTGCAGCAATGCAAGCATTGTACTAACAGCCCGTTTTTCACTAAGCTGAAAATGTAAAAACCGAAAATTTTATCATTAAAAGTAATGGAGAAATTGTTCACTTTTCACATTTTTATCTTAGGAAAAAAGTTACATAATTGCTATCTGAATAGTGTTCTGATGATTTTCCTGATTAAACAATACTTTCATTAAGGAAGTGACACATACAATACATAAATAACAAATAAATAAGTAAAAAATGAAAAACTTTTTTGTTTTTTTTGTTTTTGTGATTTTCTCCAAAATGAAGTAAATAGGAAAATCTATAAAAGACTTCATTTTACTGATCCTCTGTAACCTTCCGAAGTTTTAACATTTAAAAATTTGACACATCTTATATATACCCAAAAAACACAGCGTATCTTGTGTTACATTATTTAAATTTATATAAATTGTAATCAAATACGTATATATTTTGTAATTTGTACTGCTTGGACATTTTATTCTACATTATTTTAAATATACTATTTTTGTACTTTAAACTATATTACATGATATTATACCTATACATTAAACAGCATCTGTTGCAATCATATGTCACATAAATTGCTCATTTTCCTTAATAAATCCCTAAAGATTTCTTGATTGTTTCTAAAATCTCAAATCGAGCAAAGTGGTCACGAAGACTTTCTTTCCTAATAACTCTATCTTGCTGTAAAAATCATCTACCTATTACAGTAAATAATATGAGATGCTTTGAACGTAAATCATAACATGTTTTTTATGAAACTTTTAGTTTTATCATTATAATATCTATAAATAGATAATCAATTGGCGTCTGACTAGTTCATGATATAATCGTACAGTATCTGAAGATCTTAAGATAATTTTTAAAACATTTTCAAGTATTCGATGAATAACGACGAGCCCGACAGTCCATTCGGAAATAATTAAAATGAGCCAATAGACTTCAAAAACTAACGTTATTTAGTTACTTGAAAAAAATATCCGTTTGTAGAACGCTTTTAACTTTCAAAAGGCTGTATTTGACCTATAAACAAACTTTTAAAATTAGGAAGTCAAGGTTGCGCGGTTGATTGCAGCTAATTTATGAAGCAACTACCGTCGAAATTAAAAGTAAAATCATGTATGCATGTACATGGCATAATTACATTATTATTGGAATATTTTGTGGTAGGACTACTATTCAGATCACTCCAAAATTTATTTCTTTGTAACTTCAATTGATTAGCGTAGTTGATATTTGTTCGAAATACATACCTAAATCTACAGACTTGTTTTACTTGGAAAAAGAAATCGACAGTTGTAACGTTTGGACACAGCGTTTTCGCTAAGATATTCTGTAAGTATAAAATAATATTGTTATGGACAATATATTCTCTCATAAATGATTCGTAATTAAGAAATAGAAATGTTAATTAAATAGGACAGTTAAATCGAATAAAGAATACAATATTCGCATTGAACCAGTCAATATCGTTAATTTTTATATCCTCGCGATAATTGCGTTGTTAATCTAAAATACTAAAGAATCATGAAGGTGTCTTCACGTTTAATATTTTTTTAAACACAAATTTTTAGGATTACATATATTTTTATATATGTTTAGGATATTATTATATATATATATATATTTAGGATTATTATATATATTTATGTTAAACTAATTCTAATCATACATTTATACGTATAATATAATTCGTAAATTACGATTAAAAATAAAATTTCACTATATGTCATGTATAATTTTGCTTTTAATTAATTATTTTTTTACTATTATGGATTCATTTCTTCTTTTAATAATTTCTTTATTATTGTGGATTATTTTACTGTGCTGTTAGGACAATGGAAAAGACTGCCTCTAAATATACGACGTTCTTATACGGACAGTGGAAAGGTCACGACGATGACATTACAGCATTAAGCTTCCACCCACAAAATCATACATTGGTATCGAGTAGCCTGGATACAGAGTTAGCATTGTGGAAACTAAATGATTTGAGTTATAAAAGATTTGAAGCCCACACATCCCCTATATTAGATGTATGCTATTCACCAGATGGTAACTCTATAGCTATTGCTTCTACAGATAAATCTATCAGAATTTGGAACTTCGAAGATCACTTAAATTTCACAGAATACAGAGGTCATCGTTCTTTCGTCAGATCGGTACAATTTAGTCCAAAGGGAGATAAGGTAATTTTTACGTTTTATTAATTATTAACAATATTAACAAATCAGATTCTTGCAATAGGCGATTTACGTAATTATTTATTGATATGTTTAGTTTGTTTCCGGGTCATTTGACAAAAATGTATTGCTTTGGGAAACTTATCGTGAAAACTACTTCAAGGTATTTAGTGGACATACACATTGGGTCACATGCGCTAAATTTTCTCCCGATGGAAAACTTTTACTATCATGTAGCAATGACAAAACAATAAAAATATGGGACATTTCCAGCGGACAATGTGTCACAACTTTTAATATGAAAGGTTTGTCAAATGCATTATAATTTCATCTTTTAGAAACTTAAAGTAAAATTTTTCTATATTAGTTTCCGCTAGATATGTAGAGTTTCATCCAACCGATACAATTATCGGATCAGCAAACGTGGATGGGGGTATTAAATTGTTTGATCTAAGAACAAATTCTTCGTATCAGCGTTGCATTCATGACGGACGTGTAAATATGATCAGATTTCATCCAAATGAGAAGTTTATATTAACAGCGTCTGATGATTACTCAGTGAAGGTACTTTTAATTGAAACTTTGATTTCATACAGTGGTTTCAATAAATTATTATCAAATTGTTATCTGCTAGTAACAAGCAATATCGGTTAGATTTTAGATATTTTAAACGGTCGTCTAATTAATTCTCTCAAGGAACATAAGGATAAGGTAACATGTATAGCATTTTCAAATAATGGTGAGCTTTTTGCTTCTGGTAGCACGGATCGACAAATTCTAGTATGGAAGTGTGATGATGATTTATATATGGATGGTCAAAGTAGAAAGAGTTCTACGTTGCAGTCAGTGCCTTCTGCAACGGCAAATAGGAACTTGAAGCCGAGCTTTGTCAAGCAAAAATTTGACGATGGGAATGAAAGACCGAATAGTGACGAATATATGCATGAACAATTTGACTACGCGAACGAAAAATCGAAAAGAGACGAAGAAGAAAATAAAGAAAATGAAGATAAATATATAAGAAGAGTATACGAGAACCTAATCCAAAAAAATGTAATATAACTTAATATATATAAATATGCTCTATGAAACTACAGAAAAATAATGGTTGCAATGTGTTAAAAAATAATAATGATTTGTTAAGTTATGTCAAGAATTGTTAATTTCATAAAGTACAGGATGTCCCATAAATTTTTGCCAAGCGCTTTTATGTAGATAGTGCGGACTAAACTGAGTCGAAAGGTCATCTACCATTTTGCAATTTTCGCAATGGTTAACGAGATATTAATTATTAAAAATCGCTGAATATTGGTTTTCAATAATTTTTTACTTAAATACTATCAACTTTACAGAAAAATAGCGAAAGACAAAAATTGTTTATTTTCTTCTCATAAAGTTCTGAGAATTTTTTCAGAATTTTTTAATACCATATTTTTTCATGTTAATAAAAATAAGAAAATGTAGTACTAAAAAGTTGATAAAAAATTCTGAAAAAAATTCTTAAAATTTCTATGAAAAGAAAATAAATAATTTTTGTCTTGCAGTTTTTTGTAAAGTTGATAGTATTTGAGTACTTTTCGGCTCAGTTTAGTCCGCTCTATCTACATAAAAGTGCTTGGCAAAAACTTACAGGACACCCTGTATATCATTGCAAAAAAGGAAAGAAAACCTTTAATGGTCAAGCTGGATCCTAAGTGTTTAAATAATTATATGTGAATTTATATACTACCTATATCTATATGTAGTTACTTAAATTGCGCGCTGAATTAATTTTTCGATCTTGAAACGCAAATCGATTGGACTACAATAGTAATATCACAAATTAAATTATTTAGTAATTTATTAATTTAAAAAATTATTTCAGTGCGTAATTTAATAAATTATTACATAGGTATATAAATTTATACATAATTATTTAAGCACTTAAGATCCAGCTTGAAAGGTTTTCTTTCCTTTCTTCTTGTGTGTTCACATGTGCGGTCCTAGAATCTCTTTGTTTAATATATCATTGCAGTATTTATCAAGCACATTAAAAAAATCGCACCCAAAATCAGATGACAGTGCAGGATCATCAGTAAAAATCGTGGAACCTGAAAAGATGAGCATAATGAACGTTGAATCTCCTCAAGAAGATTATGCAAACTATGTGCCCATGCTCCCAAAACAGCCTCACAATTCGAAACAATCCCAAACAATCTCAAAAGATCAGACATCATTCAATACACTTTCTAATCAGTCTATTAAACCTCTAAAATCATTAGAAGAATGTTCAGTTTTAAAGCAAATACAATCATTACGTCAAGATTATAATGTGTTAGAACAACGCTTGACAATATTAGAAAAAAGTTATTTTAAAAACTGTATGTAGAATATATAATTTTTTTAATTAATACTCGTTAATCACTTTGAACAATATGTATGCAGGGCTGACAAATATTTGAAATACTTGTATTTACAACACGGTTTTTGCACTATATTTTGTATTTTATTTTCAAAATAAAAAAAAATTTATAAGTTTTTTATACCATATAATGATCAAATACTAACATTGATTGTCAATCTTAATATTTGAAATGTATACTTTCAATCTTTCATTACTAAGTAATAATGAAACAAAATACTTTTTCCCATAAAATACAAAATATTTGCATCTGTACTGTTGGAATGCAATATAAATTATAATTGTATTTATCTTATAAATAATGTTTTTCAAATAAGTAAAAGTATTTACATACCTAATCTTGATAATAATGTATGTGTGAATATTGACAACTGTTTAATGTTCAAGCAAATTTTTAATTGAATAATTTTATAATGCACATTACAATCAAGGTCAATCAATTGTTCATTTGATTACAAGCGAAATTAATTTCAAACGACAAGATAGTAGATTATATAGCGCAAACTAGCTTGACACTTTATGCGCCACATTATTTCTACTACCTATTCTAATTTTTGTCTTTCTCCTTCTTTTCTGTTTCTGGTTCTTGCTTACCTTTGAAAAGAATAGTTGAAAAGGATGAAAGCGAGAGAAGAGGAAGAAAGAAGAAAAAAAAGGGGAAGAGAGAGAATAAAAAAGAAAGCAAGAAGGGTTATTTATTTGTCTTTAATTAGTTTAACTGTGATTTCAATATTATCGTCCGAGTATGATTATTAATTATAGAGATAATTGTAAAGACAAAATTGTAATTTTACGATAATATACAATTGATACTACAGCATTACAAGAATACATACTTATTTATGGAGCATTTATATAATAATAGATCATGAATTTAATAATGTATTATCCAAATATTTATGTTAATATAATCGCTAATTTATATTAATTGTGGATAATGTCAGCATTCTTCAATTATCTTCGGGCTGTCGAGACTTTCCGTGAAAATTTGTCCACGGTTAACGATCTTTAATAATATCTTGTCGGTGTTACCAGTTAATGTATGCTTACTAGATTATTAACAGACTTCCAAATACTGTAAAATCATATCTGGAAATACCTAAAATGGATTAATAAGCGGAAGTAACATTATTTTCTTTTAACTGAAAACAACATAAGTTTTCGATAACATTGATATTTGAGCCATTCTTTATTAAGTATTTCGATAACATATGTTTCAAAAGAATGTTGTTCGGGCAAGCTTTTATAAACTTTTAGGAAGTCTATAGGACTGCATTTAACCAATTTATGAAGTATTATGGAAACCACGTAATTGGAATTAAAAATAAATTTATATGCACCGAATAATCGCGAGTGAGATATTTTGTGGTAATTAAGAAACTATTCTAATCTTCCGAAATTTATATTCTTTGAACTTTTTCTCTGGTGAAAAAATTTCGCTAAAATTATTCCACATATTTTGGAAAAATTTCGCGAAATTGTGCAGAAAGATTTGTTGAAATTTCACTTGAAAGTGAATTTTTTAACTAACATACTAAAAATCGGAACATTTCAGCAAAATTGCTGAAAATTTGCTGAAATTTCATTGAAAGTGAATTTTTCAGCTGACATACTAAAAAATCGCTGAAACTGAACTGAAATATCTTTGAAATTTTTGCTGAAATTTTGCTAAAAATGAATTTTTCTGCTAAAAATCGCTGTAATTAAACTGAAATTTTTCTGAAATGCTGAAATTTTGCTGAAAAGTGTTCCAAAACGTTGAATACCCTAGTAGCAAGCTGACGTCAAAATGACGTCAAAATGACGTAGCTTGCTACCTGGGTATAATTTCAGCGAAATTTTTCTACCGGGGTTCAATTGATTAGCGTGGTTGTTGACATATGTTTAAAATACTAAACTAATTCATAGACTAGGTATACTAGTTTATGTGAATAAACATTCTCGAGTTCTTAAAATTAGACTCGGTCATCTAATTCCATACGAAAATGCATTACGAAAATTTATGCGTATGTGTGTAAAATTGTAAACCCTACGAAGGTTCCGTTTCAAAGATATAAAATAATATATCATGATGGGCATGATATATCATTTTATATCTTTCTTTGATAGCGTTTTCGGCCCGACCGGGTTTGCACCAACCTGGGTTGGATTAATGGCGTTTTGCGCTCTCCTATTGGTAGAGCGTGTGACATCA